CTCTTTCGATCCGAACTAGCAGCCGCACAGCGATGCATGATGCCGGTAGTGCCATTCTATGCAGAACTAACTATTAAAAGGACCGTTTGCAAGTTTATCAGAGTCACAGCAGCACTAAAAACTAGACCCCGAATCCACTTGGATTATGTTGTGCAACGAAGGTTTTCATGCATTCTGGCGTTCCTCCAAAGATCGATTGGGATTATTTCTACGGTTAGTCGACAGGTTGGTATGCTCATCTGTGTATCCAGGGCCTGGCCATCGGATCGAACCACATCTAGCCATCATCCTCATCTCTGTCAGCCACAACGATATCTTCCCCTAGATACTGGTGCTTCTTATTCCCCTTTCGGTGGCCCCTTCATGTTTTCAACTTCGCCCCTCATTGCCTGCACGGAAATTCGTTTCTTAAGGAATCTCTCGCCTTACTTAATAATATAGGTTTGAATGACAGTTACGCATAGGGTAAATTGAACACCATCAGGCCTCGTATCAACAAGAGTAGCTATCACTATTCGCTCTGTGCCCGTCCAGCTATCGCCAATGGCTCTGCACCAATTTTTCATTTCTTTAAGTTTTGCAGACCTTCATTTCCGTGGCGACCGTACAATTACAGTACATATCATAATCGTCCCTATTTAAGTCACTTCAAAATAATTCACCCGGGATTCTTAACACACTTCACGTTCACGTCCGATCGTAAATTATTACATGTCACTCCCCTAAAATGCCTTAAGTCCAATCCAAAAGAATTGGGATTTAACATCAGTACACATTGCAGTGTTCATAGGGGTCAGAAGACTTATTCTGGCAAATCTGGTATCCCTAAGTTCATAGTAAATCTGAGAATTTGGGGTTCTGCAGGAGGTTGAAATAGGAACGGCAGCATGCAAAACATCACTGGTATGCAAATAACGGCGAAGACTCTCAAAGAAACCCAGAACCTATGACAGTAAGTGATTAATGATCCAGGAAAATACTGCCCGTGTTTTGACTTCGGTTTGCCGATTCTGTCGAAAGGAATCATTTCTAATCCAGTGGCTGACATCATTTAGGAAGATACATACGCGATTAAGCAAAGCAATAAGGTCGATTCTAGGTCACAGAGGCACTGAATAAAGCTGATGGGCACCACTCCAAACATTATTGTACGGACATCGCACGTAAAAGTATTACGAGTGTCCAAAAACCAAACTTATGATGATGAACGAGTCAAAACGCAAGAAGGGTGCTGTAATACAAAAGGAGCTTGTTTCATATACAGATTACCCGTCTGGAGTGGGAATATTCCGTCAAGTCTGTTAAATCACCGATGAGGAACACTGCGCCTGGGCAAATGTAGTGGATGTTCGTGGTAGTTTCCGACGTGAGACGAGGGAAATCGTCAGCGGCCGTGAAGGAATAGGAGCACTGGTATCTCCACAGGCCTGTGACCCACACCGATCTTATCATGGATCCGCTCTAAAAACAGCCCTAATCCACTCAAACCATCCAGTCTGCTTCGAGGTGCGTTAGAAGATTCCCGCCAAAGATGAAACACAGTCCTTAGTGCTGCTGGATTTGATGCCTGAAGGTTGTATGTGCTCCGTTCCTCAATAGATTACTTCCATCAATGTCACTGGCGGAGTCAGGCGAGAGTTTTCACCAACCTGCGATGTGCTGGTTCTTTTTGCGGATCGCGAATAAGTAAGGTTTTATGAATGTGAGGAATGGCCGGGCGTTTGGGAAGAGAGAAAAGCAAGATGTTGTCGACTAGACGATCAGAGGCAGTGAATCTCCCACCTGGGCTGTGTGTTAAAATGAACCATTTAACGGTCGGTCGTATATGACGGAGATATTGGTATCCGATGCCCGCATTTGTGTCAGGTGTTCTTGAATGCCTTGTAATATAAAGACGACCAAAACAAGAATGATGATTTCCGTTATGAACAGGGTATCAGCGTTGCGGTGGTGGTTGCCGGGACGATTCTGCTTTTTGATGTCGAATTCTTAGAGTAGTTCCCTAATCTGGAGGTCTGTCCTTCAGCTTCCTTAGGGTTTTGTCGTCATTTGAGTGCTTCGATGTCGGGGAAGAATGGTTTTGCAAGCGATGGTGACAAGAAGGGGCATTCCTCGTCGCGTGGCACTGTAACACCATCGTACCGTCTTCAACCACCGGCCAGCTTAAACTGTTGCTTATTTGTGTCCTTCAGCGCCGATTTGACTAAGGACTGCGCCAGTGGAAAATCCACCAGCGTAGGTGTTAAGGTAAATTTTAACTTTGGACGCTGCTATTGGGGGACGGAAGGATGGTCGCGGATGACAGAACGCCTTAAGTGACCGGAAAAGTTGATGAGTACCCTGTTATTTTCGCGAAAGAAAACCTCGTTTATGTTGATCGATTGAAGGGAAAAGCAAAATTGGCAAAATCTTAAATAAAACGGCGGTTATCAGATCTCAGTCCCAAGAAGGACCGTACGTCCGTCTGCAAGCCTCGAGTAGCCCAGCAAAGTATTTGCGGACTGTCTCAGGTTCAGGAATGATGCTAGTCCCGGACACTACGTGTCCAAAGTAAGTTACATGGTGTTGGAGAAAATGACTCTAATCCGGGTTGGTCATAAGACCTGCAACCTGCAGCTTCTGGAGCCCCGAAATTAAATTGTCGGGGTTGTAAATGATGGGCATTCTGAGATTGATGATATCATTCAGATACGTGGGACAGGACCGGAGGCAAGAATAATCAAAAATTGGCGAGAGACAGTGGCATTCGCGAGGCTGATGTGCAGAACATTGAACTAATAGAGGCCGGTGGGGAATCTATTCATGTATGTATTCGAAAAGAATCCTTGACGACCCTATTTATTCACAATAATTTCGCAAATTCATACTCAAAATAAACTTGCAGGCCTTGGAATGTGATCGGTCAACAATACAAATTTAATAAGAAGGAATCGCTTATGCTCGCTGTGAGTCCGTGCGGGGAGATTTTGTATTCAAAGCGTATTAAAAAGCTGGCTGTAATTAGTCATGCTGTAAAAGTCGGCCTTCGTCGAAAATTACGGGAATAAATTTTCTTTTAAGCATGCGAATTGTGACGGTCGCCACTATTTCACTTGGTGTAGAGTTCCATGGTCGGACAACCCATTGGCTGAACGAAAACGTCTTACGGTCTAGACGTGTGACTTTGCTCTTGAATTTGTGAAGGTGGCCGCGTAATTGATTTGTGCTGTCAAGCTCAAATAGGTCCTCTGGTCTCAGTGAGCTACTTTGGACACGGACAAATTGGAGTAGACTGAACCTTATCTGCCTGTCAGATCAAGGGAATAAGTCAAGCACATTCAGACTCTCCTGGTACAACAAATGCTTTAGACCATCCAGCACCTTCGCTGCTCTGCGTGTCACCCGTTTGAGCAGGTAACTATCCATGATGAAGATACTAGTATTCCATGTTCCAGGGGCGGTCTTACAAAGACTCCGTAAAGCCTTCCGAAGAGTTCGGGAGGAAATAATTTAGATGCTTGACAATCTTCATACAGTGTTCTGACGGCATTCGATTTATGGTCGTCCATACACCTAGATCTCTATGTTTGTCAACATTTTCCGATGGTGTATTAGAACGATCTGCTGGCCAAAAATATGTCTATCAACAACTGCAGGCTGCAGAACCGATGGTGTCATCGACAGGCAGATTCGAGAAAGGGCCAATAAGATGGAAAAATTTCGAATTCCAGGTTTATTAATAAAGGAAGAAGAAGACTGGTCGAGCACCGAAACAGACAATTAATTGTTCAGAGTTCTCGAAATCGTGCAGGAGTCAGTCTTCAGGGATATTAGCAAAGACAGAACGAGCGACAATTAGATGGCATGTTAGCCAATCATCGATGGAGCAAGGCTGAAGGAGACTACGCAAAGATCTGTACGCTGGCGTCCGATTCATAAATCGGTTGGCTGAGTTCTCATCCGAGGCACAGAATTCAACAAATTCTCGGCATATTTTGTATCCGTCAGGCGATTGTCTTGTTGGCTTCAAAGTTTAACTCATGGCTCATTTCGTAAGTGTGGATAGTAACTTGTGACAATTCATCTCCTTGTCCCACGACCGCCGGAAACAAAATGGGTCGAGAATTGGTTGAATTCTTGGCCTCGGATGAGAAATAAGCCAACCGATTTATGAACCCGGCGCCAGCGTACAGATCCTTGCGTAGTCTACGGAATCATGGGAATCGTAAAGTTAATTGGTCAAAGGGATTTCCTGATGCGGCTGTGAGCCGATTATTACTGGAAGGGAGACTGATGGGATGGATCGAGTACGGGGCATCTCTGATATCAGTAATCCAGGCAGTGTTTTTCTCCAGTTGAAGCAGATTAATTGGACAAGAACGAGAGCAAAATCAAAAGGCATTAAAGGGCACGTTAATGAATTCGTCCCCTGAAATGTGTAACGAAAAACAACGGTTTGAACGAGGGTCACAAAGTACAGCAAACACATCACGCATTAAAGGGTAAACCAATAACGCTCTAAAATACCAAAAAATAATGCTTGGGGATCGAACAATGTAATAATCAAGAGGGAATGATGATGCCAATCAACAGGAAAGTTAATGAGGGGGTTAGATGGAACGCAGACGGCTGCGAAAGGGAACGAACGAATAAATGAGAAGGTTGCTTCCAAGGTTTGCTGGCTTGCAGAGGAATTTCTAGGCCAAAAGGCAGATCTTTGGCAAAGGAAATATGGTAAGTAGCCCGTTTGGCTTGACTGAGCGTGATCCATGTCTTAATACTACTTGCTTGAAAGGCTGGCGCAATAAGTTAATTCACTTAAAGGTGTTCAAAACCCAGTTTTTCCATCTTCAAGCCTTTTGCTTTAGCAACTGCATGTCTTCAAAGTGTATAATTAGGCGTGTGCTAAGCAAATATACCTTCTGCTGCTTCTGTGACCTATGCTTGCTTTTATGCGCTGAGTAAAAGGGCGCTTTATACGTACCCGCGCGAGATCTTAGACTTAATTTTGCTTCCTCAAGATGATACTCATCGAACCGTACCATCAAGCGGTCAGGGATGTTGTCCTTTTACAATTTAATAACTTTAAGGAATATCGGAGGACAAATGACGAGTAATTTCCGATTCCTATGAGATTTTTTCATTAAATATTAATAAATAAACGAATGCGTATTTAAATGGTGAAACAGGCCCTGTAGTCAGCATGTTTAACAGTGGGCCAATTTAAGTACATTCGAATAATTAGCCAACTCTTTGAAACGCTTTATCGCACCTTTTCTCTCTTATGGCCCGCGGGGCCATGTGTTGACAGGGTATTTTGGCCTGACTGTTTGAATACTCGGCGACCTCGGTGGGATTCGAATTCACGACTTTACGAGGAAGGTTTCAGTACAGCCTGCGCTCTAGCTATCCAAGCCAAGAGACCAGTCTCATGAGGAGCTGTGGGTTAAATCACATTTGGGTCATGTTACCCGTCCAGACTGCTGCAGCGTATGGAATCCACCGAATTTGATACTGCGAGCTGACTTCGCACGCATAATTGCCTAAGTAATCCGTTTAAAAGCCACCAGGCGACTACGAAACGTACTTAAATAATAAGTTTAAATTGCTCTGATGCCCCTTAATATTTTGCAGATCGGCCAGAATAATTATAATTATTCAAAACCCGCCGAATATCTACTTATTGTTTCCCAAGTCGAAATCGATTTACTGGATAACGCACGGCGGTAATACATCCAGCCTTTGTGCTCTTCGATTTACTCTTGTTCTTATGTTCATTTCTAAAGTTACTGAGATAAAGGGTTCCTAAAATCTTCGTCAACGGCTGCAGGGTCGATGTACGGACTCAGGTTTTTTGTTCCACGAATCCATGTCGGATTTAAGAGATATGATGCGCTCTGGCGTTATAGTTTCTAACTCAGATAATACTAGGCCCCTTCTGTGTTGTGTGAAGAATAATTTTACCCAATACTCTACTTTTGTTCTTTGAGTTTCCTTTAGCTGTAGTACAGAAGCAATCATTGGGGTTGAGTCTTCTGCCAGTAACATTCTTGATGATCTTATGAGAAAAGAGACTAAACACGTCAGAAATGTCTGATTTGAAAGGAAGATGACTGGACGATCGCCAAAACAGATTCCTCTGCGTTTCAAAAATGAACTGCCTCAAAAGCAGACGAAATGCTCCTCACCAATGCAATCCTGACTTTTTCGCGGTGCACATAATCACATAATCTCCTGAAATACGCAGTAGTCTACATTTTTCTGACTTACAGGTTCTTATTCATTTTGGGCAAATAAACTTTAAGTTCGCCAGCTTTCACCACTAAGGCATGTCCGTATATCTTTATTATTTAGGAGTCAATGATGCCCCATTAGATAGTATGGAGTTCTTAGCCACCGACCGTTTTACTCCAACATTTATACTATTTATGCATAGTAAACGAATAAGTGAAATAAATGTATTTTAAAATCACGATCATTTTTCCTTCGCAATATATAAAAAATTTCAGTGGCTTTCTTCATTTTATAGCCCGTAGTTATATTAGGTATAAAACATTTTGAGGTGATTATCGCAATGTAATAAGTACTCAAGAGACAGTTTCAAAAGATTTTCAACACGACAGCGACGATTTTCAGATGTTTCCCAAAAGATTCTTACTACACGCTAGCCTAGATTTCAGTTTTGCTGCTTGTCCAATTTAAGTCTCTCTGCAAAATTGGGAAAGGAATAAAGACTTCCTCCTCGGTCTCCCAATATAACTGAAGTATTTTTAATCGCCCCTATTCTTATATCTCTTTAGAGCATGTTTTCCTAACATGGTGAAAGTCACGATTGCCGACTTTGATGGGGTTATTTACAATATCTCCCAGGACCCAAAATCAACAATTCTCACTGTCAGTATTTTGTTGAGATTCTACAAGGATATTGAAAAGTTCGGCGATTCCAAGGTGAATTCTTCCTCATCCACCTAAACAGTCGATCATTAAATAAGTAATCCATGATAACTGTAGTTATTTTAAATCCATTAACACAGGTATTGGCCAGAGAGTACGGTCAATTTCTACAACCTGCTGCCGAGGCCGGCTATTCTGTTACCCTGAAAATCGACTACAACAAACTTCCAGATAATGTCGAGGAGCTGGCAACCAAAGTTGCATTGTTACGTCGACACTGCTTTGCCAGCGTTTTCGAACACTTTTTCGACTATCAGATGTCAAAACCTTCAAGCACACTCCAAGGCATTATCCACTTCAGAACAGATGAAACAATGTAAGTGCAATTTGTCTAGTCTATGATAGGTGTTGCTAGTGCTCCACTGTCCCATGCAAACTATTTAAACCTTATTTATGTAGGCTCATTAGAAAAGGCTTAATATATGGCGTCTCAGTGTTTAGATGACGAACGGTTTTTAAATTTAAGGTTTGTCCAAGCAATGTCGGACAGGGCAACGGTTATATTCAGCACCCGCTTCAAGGACCCTGGCGACATGGTCTTGGGGAAGACTTTCCTTCAGGTAAAAATGTTTAAACATTATGCTCAGGAAAAAACCGGCTTACAATTTACTATCCATTCTTGTAGTCAAGCGATATCTCTGCATTAAATATCCTCATGCAGGTGGACCGTGATCAGGTAGAACGCGGGGCGGAAATGTCTGTAAACTATTTTTTCTCATTTTCACTTCTATAAATCATTCTTGGTTGTCTAGTTGTGGGTTGTGTGAGACGCCTAAGGGTGACGCATTGTGAAGATGGGTGGTCATTGTAACGGCATTGTCTTCAAGTATGTCGGAACATCAATCTAACAACTCGCATACTTGCAGAAAAAGCTCGTACGCCATTGCGATACTATGATGCAGCGTATTCTGACTGACATCTACCAATGGTCCCTTCACCGATCGACAAGACACTGCGACCCGGAGATTATATGCTGGAAGGATAGGTGGAGACGTCCACACCAAAATTCCGGCAGTCACAAGGCAACCACTTCAGCCACTGTCCGATTATGCATGGCCTTATTGAGTTTCTGGACTGCTCATTGTAGCAGAACGCCTCCGTTTTAGGAGGCTTACTTATGCGGCCTTCCGATTAGAGACGTTTAAGAACTGGCGGTTGCAAGTCAAAAATGTTCTGACCGAATGGCGTGGTTTTTATCTAATCATCCCGGTTACTGCTGAGCACTTGAGGTGACAACCAATGTAAGTTAAAGGACAGCAATCAGAAGGAACAGGGGCCGAGCGCAGTGGCTATCCCGTAAGTTTCACACAGTGCTAAAGAAATGCCTCATAAAATCATGTTTCTGCTGATGGAGAGACTGTAGGGTTGACTTTGGATATGACGAGAATCTTCTCCTCCTTTCTGTGCGCAGAATTTCTCGGACTTTTGAGATCACACAGATGGCCTGACGTTAAGTGTCGCCCTAAAAAGGCCTGACTCTCGCTGGTTTTATAACTGTTTCAGAGTCTCCCCACTCTTGCAGGTTTCTTACCTTCTTGACTCGCTGCGCCGTTTGCTCACATACGGCTGTGTTTTGTCACTAGCCATCGGAGTACATTGCCTCCCAAATGAACTTAACCAGCGCTCTAGAAAGGCGGTGTCATAGCCGCAGATTAAAACGCAAAGGGGACGCAAGTATATACGATAAGTGGCTCATTAATGTAAGAGAAAGGATCTGAAACAAACCTTTTCATTCATCTTACTACAACACGAATTCCGAAAGTCTCGTTTTGGCCGGATGTTTCCTAGAGTGACTGTAACGAATTTATCTGTTTAGGCCACAGTCCTTTCGGTACTCGATAAACGTTACTTAAAAGAGGGAGATACTGAAATTGCCTCCTCTGACGCATGTGGCTATTAGACGGTGATACTACAACCCCGGGTGCTGGCGTACCCATCACTTGAGTCCGGTTTTAGCTGGCCATTCAGACCAGGTCCAACACCCTACCCACTGGAGGTCCTTGGCTCGAATTTTACGGCTACATTTTGGAATGTTTAGTGCCATTTGAGATTGTTGTTCGCCAAGCCTGCCTGGGTTCAGAACATACAGTTTCCAGGCAAATTGTAAACGTCCCTTTCCGTCCTGTGATCAAGGTAGATCGCTGAACGCTAGTCTCGAGCTTGCCTCCCACGGAAGACCCTCCACCGGGCTGTCATAACAGAGCGATCCGCTTGGTTTAGGCCGATTGATTACAAAAGCCTTTGTAACAGGAGGACACGAGTCTCTGTGGTTGTTTTATGGCCAGTCAAAACCTGATCGTTCTTGCTGCACTCATTTTCTGCTAGTTGGCAAGTTTTAGCAACACTATTAGCAGTTTGATGCTTAAAAGGCTTTTCCGTAGTTTCCGTCTCATCCGCTCTCAAAGTATCCCGTGCTCAATCTTTCCGTGTCCTCAAATTAGGGCATCCCAAAACAAGAATTCCATTACGCTCTGCAGCCAGAAGTGAAGAAGGTGACGGAAACAACCTCAGAGGTCAAAAGCGCCAGCACTGAGGATTCCTCCCACCGTAGGGTCGGTTAAGAGTTGCTTCCTGCATTCAAAAACCCCAGAAACTTATGTGCCAAGTCATCTATACTGAGTAGCCATTTTAACATTGTGAGCGACAAGTGTGTTTATGACAGCTCGGCAGGATTTTAGTTTTCTTACTGCGGACCAATCAGCCTCTCTCCCTCGCTATCCTTAGGAATGAATTTTCATCCTTCAGCCAATAAATAAATCGCTGGCTGCGCACTGATAAGCTGGGTCCCTGAAGATCGGCTGTGGCTGTCCTGGAGTAGGCTACCGTGAGCTACCTTTTTCCGGGCTTGCTACGGAGGTCTTGGCCGTTGTCGGTGTCATGTAGCTTTTCTGTGAAGGTGGCTGAAGGACGCGGCACAAACAAATACTTTTCCAAGCTGGACGTTCACACGGCAGTTCGACCGTCGCTGTCGACGATTTCCACCGTGTGCTGCACATTAAGTTGAGAGCAGGGACGGCGACTCGTGCGTGAATTAATTTATAGGGATATTAGACCTGCACAGCATCTACAGCACTCTCCTCCCCCACGCACACAGACTGACTAAGCATTAACACTGCGGCGTATCCATCAATTCCATCGTGTCAAGAAGCAACTGACCGTCCTCTGTTAAGTTGATTTCCCTGGAGCGTTCAACTCCCTTAGTCGTGATTCCCTCTTTTTGCTACTAGTGCGGGACGGTGTACCGACAAGCATCATGGCTCTTACCGATTCCTGCTGTCGCTCAATCGCTCTTCGAGTTCTTGTTCAGAAGAGTCTGTCACAACCATCTGACATCCAGTCTGTCATTGGCGGGATCCTCGGGGGGGGGGGGGATGTGGATGGTTTTTAGGATGTCCGAACCCCAACGGAACATGAGCTAACTGACCGCTGATGACACCACAAAATGTGGTGTTATGGGTGAAATTGGACACCAGATCCGCTGGCCGATCTACCAACTACGCACCTGACCAGTAGCTGCACTCTAGCAGTCTCTGATGATGAACTCCATTTCAAGTTCGAAAGCTAAGGTCAATAAATCTACCGTTCCAGTGATTGTGCCTTCGTCTTCTTTTAAACAAGAACCTGGGATGCACATATTCTCTTCCATTCGTAAGAAGAAGTCTGCTCGACCATCAGAACGATTTTCTTTGAATTTTCCGATGACGAACCTCTGCATGAGTTCGAACAAATGCCTCTGGTGCTCTTCTTCATCCTCGGACATTTCGGAGTTCCGCCCGATTCCATCATCAGGTGACAGGCGCATAGGGCGAGGGCGATTTCGGGATTCATTCTTCCTGCCACCACACGCCTACAATAATTAGTAGCTTCGACAGTGATCGTAATTGCTGCGGGGATTGTTCGCTCGACCCCTTCTCTGTGACTGTTCTGACAGTGAGATCCCGAAAATTAGGCGAGAAAGCTTCTTGTTCCAGCAACTAAATTCCCATCTTCTCAACTGCATCCTGTCCTGCTTCTTTTGGCAGTTCGGGAAGTCGTTAAAGGAAATGCGGATATTTGGTTGGCATCATTTGCACCGTTGAACTGAACAGTTATCACGAAAACCACCATTTCCTCTAAGGGTCTTTAGGAGCTGCCAGCAGATGGCGTCATAAATGTACCTGGGTACGAAGGGGGGAGAGTTCGATTTCAGCAGGCTTTCCGTGCTAAAACAGAAAGACAGCCGCTGGTAGATAAGCTGGATCAATTTCCGGCTTCATTTGAAAAGTCCGGCGACGTGAACGGAAGGGAGATGCGAGCTGCTCCTCTTCCTTTTGTCCGGACATTGGGTCCCGACGCTCGATTCATTTGTCGCAAGGCTTGAGATCCGGGAAATTACGACCCTGAACTGACAGTTCTACCGTCGCATCCGACGAGGTTTCCCGTGTGCCTCACTACATGGTGAAGCAGGCACGATGACTTGGGACTAAATTAGGTTGTAGTGAGTGTAGACTTGCGCAGCATCCATCGCACTCTCTCCTCCTCCAGCTGAGCCCGGCACCTTGACAGGGTCAAGAAGAATGGGGGCGGGGGATGGCGCGGCCGAGCCCGCTCCTTGACGCTCCACGCCCACTGGTCCGAACACAAAAAATGACCAGGATTTTAGCCAGCAACAACAGAATAACAGGGTAAAAAGAGGAGAATGACTGGGCAACCATGCACTCGACTTGTCTACCCAGGGGCAGCGCAAGCCCATCTACCGGAGAATTGCCAGCGCATGCCCGACTGAAAGGGCCATGTTTTGTTGATCGTGGCGCAGCAGACGCTCCCCGAACTAATGACCAGCACATGGTCGGGCTGTGGGCCTGTCGGTCTGCGAAGACCCACAGTGGCGTCGGCGAGGGTGCACGAGAATCTGCACGAGAGCCGTTCTTGCGCCGGAGTGAGACTGCTGCTGACAAGCACACCCAGGCAGGCGCACACGTGCGTGCGTGCGACATTCAGTGTCGACACGGAGGGTGAGGCTGTGAGACGGTGAGAGCTGACGAAAACACGATGAGCGTGTGCGTGTCTAAGGGGCTGCCACCTGTGTGCAGGTGATACCAAAACTAGGTCTCAGGTGAGATGACTTGTGCACAGCCAACATCCACGACGCAGGTGGATGGAGGCGGAGGAGAGAGCAGTGGGCCTGTGTGCGTGTGTGTTCCGCCCCTGAAAGGGGTCACGCGATAGATGCGTTGGACCAACACGGAGGCTAGATCGGGGTCTGGCAGGCGTTATCAGGAAGGCGCATCCATAATAAATTTCGAAATTAGGCGTTTGGTGGCACGTCCGTGTGCAGGTTCACATAGCGCCCATTTGGATCCGTGCTACCTCCTCTTTTCATTGTGGGGTGAAGTCCAGGTTGCTGTTCGTTGTGGACCAAGGGATGCGCTGGTACGCCTAGGTGTGGGTTTCGCCGTGCCAGTTACCTGCGGCCTCTTCCGCTGCCGGCCTTTTTTACTCCGTGTCGACACCGGATTGAGGTGGGGAAGGAGGAGATAGAGGCGGTAGATGCTGCTCAAGTCTACCAAATCATGTGCATGCCACCGTCCCTGTTCCCACCCTTCTGTGGTGCACAGGGTGAACATCGTCGGAATCGACGATCAAACTGTCGTATGTGTGTCGGTCGCGGAAAAACAGTGTTAGCTGCACTAGAGTTGCGAAGGGGACATGGGACTAGAAATGATACCTCCGCCTCCAAAGCCTATTCACCTCAGGGGCACCGCTGACCTTTAGCATCGCGTAGTCAGGTGTTCTAGAGGACTCTGTCAAACGGAAGGAAAGTCTGCCTATCGGAAACTTGGATATTTCAACTGGATTAAATAGGACTCTGCTATAGCGCACTCACTAGCTGCGTGCAGAAGAAACCCCCGGCCTGAGACACACACTTTCACTGAAACCACTGCGTACAATTTCTGAGCACATTACATCGAGGACGGAATTCATTCACATGTGTTTTGGGAGATTTTGAATAAGTCATATTGACCAAACCGTGAAAAACTCGGCGCCTCGGTGGGATTCGAACCCGCGCAGTAAGGGGGAGGCTTTGGTACAGCCAACGCTCTAACCACTTGTGATTAAACTCACATCGTCCGGCGGGGCTTCGTAGCTCAAGAGGTTAGAGCGTTGGCTGTACTAAAGCCTTCCCCTTACTGCATGGGTTCGAATTCCACCGAGGCGCCGAGTTTTTCACGGTTTGGTCAATGTGAATTATTCAAAATCTGCCAAAACACATGTGAATTACGTAAGCCTGGTAGTCATCTGGCGGATTCTAGGTGAATTACTTAGGACATCCTGCTTGGGCAGTCAACTTACTGTATCAGATATGCTGGATACCAGACTTTGCAGTAGGTTGGGCGAGTAACTTGACCCAAATGTGATTAAACTCGCCTCGTCCTGCGGGGCCTCGTAGCTCAAGTGGTTAGAGCGTTGGCTGTACTAATGCCTCCCCTTACTGTGCGGGTTCGAATCCCACCGAGGCGCCGAGTTTTTCACAGTTGGGTCAAAAGGAATTCATTCAAACCCTAATTGGCCTATTCTGTGTTGCAGGAGTTTTCTGAGGCCAGACGCCGTTTCGATGGGGCGCCGCAAGTTATCTACTGCCATAGGGATCCGCCACGAGAACTGGCTGGGACCGACGCACTTTCTGGTGACAACATTGCCTATATTACTTTCGGTGAGTTCAGAGCTGAGCACCTGATAGCCTTACAAATACTTGTTTTCTTTTCTACAAACAGTTCTTAGAGAGAATTTCAAACTCTAAGTGGCGGGAACCCAGCTTCGGGGTTTGTAGGCGAACTCGTCATCTAAGTACAGGGGGGTTGCATTTCTTCTGATGGTTATGCCCATTTTTAGTCATTGATCGTTCAGGTTTCATCGTTGGCTGACAACCTAGCTGCTCACTGTCGTCTCTCATCATGATTACGGAGCTTATTGGCCTATCCCAGAGTAAGGAAGTTTCATGCTTTTTATGGGATTTTCGGCTTCACAGAGCATGAAGTTATTGCCTGATAAAATTCCACAGATTCCAGCCACTGGTTTGTCGTCATGCTCCCTCAACACTGAAACGTGCTGCATTATCTGGGAAGGATTAGCTCATGAATCGGAACTTAAATCTTCAATCTACTTGTCTCTGCCGCCCTGTTTCGCAGGAGGTACGAAGACCTACCCAAATAAAGCGATAATTATTTTCTGCAGGCATGTGATCTGACAATGTTGCCCTCTCTAGCTAGACTCTTCGTGCTCAGTCGGCCTAGTAACGTTCATAAGGAATCATCGCAGTGGACAGAATAATTGTTTAACTAAACCACTTCCCAAAGCTTTCGTCGATTTTGCGAGGACAAACTTTGAGGACCAGTTGTCGACGGCCATTTTGGTCATGTCTGGGGTCCTTAGCTAGGGCCCCGCTGCCTCGAGGTTATTCTCCTTCGCAACCAACGGTTCCAGACGGCCACTCCATCGACTTCAGCTCAGACGCACATGCATCCACAGAGTCGGAGCTAGCCATGCGCCACCTGAACACACCACCCACCCCTCACCCCCCTGCGAATGCAACGTAAGTCACTCGAACACCGCTCCTGGGCAAACGCAACACACACACCAATCTGACGCCACTTGAGCTTGGCCCACGAGCCTACAAAAGCGACTGCCACCAGTTCCTCACGGACTCTCAGGCACGACTGGACGTAGTCAATATTAATGCCCTGGCTTCGCCAGCAGCCACCGCCACCTAAGAGGACAACTCAGGGTTCCGTATACAATACGGCCCCTCCATCTGGTGGTTTCAGCCATCTCCTACAACATGGGATTCGGTCTGATGATTGTAGCGGTCTGAGTACACTCACTTCGTTTAGCTGCTTCCAAGCAACGCGCGTTAGCGTTAAATTCCGTTTTCTGTTAAAGAAAACAGCAGCAACGACGACCGTTTCAATGCGTCCGGAAGCCTACGGGAAGGGAATTCTAAGTCAGGCAAGAATTTCCGAGTTCTCTAACCGCTTCAAAAATGGTCAACTGTCACTTGAAGATGGAACCTGTTCGGCTAGCCCCTCAAGGTCTAGATACATAAAAGTTCATAAAATTTTGCAATGAATGGGGACTATGGCGTACAGTTCATGAGGACAGGTACGATGCTGTATGAATGGACATTGCACGATCTTCAAAAATTTCATAATTAGGAAACGGCTAGATTGCAGTTGGGGAATGGGGGAGCGGACGGCGACCTTAACCTTTCATCCCAACCTTAAACTTTAACCGTTAACCTTAACGGCAACCCTAATCCTAACAGAAATCGTAAAGGTAACCGTAGCCCTTAGACAGAGCCGTAACTGTAAAACCTAATCGTAATACTGAAACCTAATCGTACACTCAAACGCTAACCGTAACCCGAAAACCTAAGCCTAAAGGTATAACCCTAACCCGAAAATCGGAAACCATTAACCGGTACCCTAATCCTAACCTCGCACGTAAAACGGAAGCCAAAAAGGTCAGATATGATTATGGAAACAAACCCCCCAGCCACCTGTAATACGGCTCCTGGCTACCAACTGCGATCTGGCCTTAGAAACTTTAAGACCTGATTATACTCCTTCTTCAAATAGAAAATGTGAATATGACTTGATTCTATATTAAACAAGTAAAAGAAAGCATGTTTTGTACGTTTTTTAATTAAATGTATTTGAAAACCAATGTGGCAAGTGCACGTTGCTTAGGTACGCATTTCTTGTCGAGTGCGGTTTTTACAGAAGTACATTCGAAATATTATAGGATCCGGCCACAAAATAATCAGTATTATGACCTCACGTAGGTAATCCTTCTTAATGGAGAACGAATTTCAGAATTTCGGCCAAAATTTCATGAGATCGGCCACTCACCGTAACCGCACTTTGCTTCCTTCCTAACCTCGGTCTTGTCAAGATCTCTTCTAGGGATGATAATTCATACACTACCACTGAAAATAAAAGCTTTCAACCCTGTTTCTCCAGACCCAAATAGCAGATGCACTGCGTGCCTGGGAGTTGTAGAGACATAATCCCCATTACTGTCGCGACAGGTTAATTCCCATGCAGAACAATACTAACTCCCGGCCCGGTCACGGACCGACAGAGGAGGAGTTGGACGCCAATGGGGAATGGATGAAGAATAGGTTGGAGCAAGTTGGTAGTCGGGCGAGTACGAACGCCCGGGTGCCACTGGAATAGGCGTCAGAGTGCCTTGAGCGAAGGCAGTGTAAGTCGATCTTGAATTTGATTGGCCCGCATGGATAGCAGTGAATGACTGAGAATCGGACTGGCACTGGTACGCTCGAGAAGCCCAATGTCTCAGCAGGCGTCCGGAGCGAGGTCGCTACATTGCCTTTTGTTTCCTGAAGCTGATAGTGGTCATCACAGAGCCTTTTTGGCACACAGTGACTAATCATACTCCAGGAGACTCCTGCTGGCGTCTTCGTGCTCTTACTTTTCCGTTCTTTCTCCCTCTCTCTCTCTCTCTCTCTGTTGCCAGTGCTTTCACCACGTCACATTGATGAAAAACACCGAGCCAAGACAATAGACCTCATTCACACCCTGCGCACCTACCTGCACTATCACATCAAGTGCATGAAGGCCTACATGCAGATGCGGATGCGAGCCAAAACCAGCGAATTCCTCAAGGTCCTCAACCGTGCCCACAGGGAGACCAACACCGCCGTGGCCGTCAACGTCGATCAGAGCAGTGGCTTGGCCACCGGATCCAGCGCCAAGTAAGTGCGCTAGGGCTGTTTGTCGCTCTGTATACCCAACAGCATTGTTAGGCCTTCTGCTTCCACGGGCCAACCAATTTGCGGAGCTTCGGTCAGTGACGGCCTTCTGCGTGTTTAAAAAAGGACGGCGCCGATTTGAAAACTTGCGAAGTTAAGTGTCTGTAGATCGAAGCTACTGTACGCCCTATAGGCCCTCCAGGAGTTTGCAAACAACGCCATTTAGAGTGGTCTTGAACGCGCAAACCACTGATTTAGAGCACAAATCAGATCTCTAAATGGAAAACTACTACGTGGGTGACGTTGGAATGCACATAAACATGGAACATGTATGTGCTGACTTTGGGTTAAGAAGCTCCTCAGTCAGTCAGCATATTTTCCGCGGAAAGTCCCGTTTAAATTAGAAAATGACTTTGACGAATGTGTGAATGCGTTGTAATCGTCAGGCCTGTTACGAACTACCACAGAAACATTCGATATGAATTATTCTCATGTAGGAGGTCGGAGTACCGAGAAAACCGATGGTGTGAAGGGTAAAGGCGAAAGATTGTGAGCTTATTTGCGTGAAGGGGTGATCGGATGTTACGGTGGATGAAAGACGGGCGGGGGATCATTCTAGGCCATCCTCCAGCAGAAGGTAAGGATCGGGTGAAGGCTTCAAGCATGTGTGACATACAAGGAATACCTACCACACTTATTTGAGTGGGTTTTATTTCGACACGATTATTACGGTTTGGCGTTCCATCGTACAAGGTTGGGTCGTCTATTATAGACGGTCTGGTGCATTATCTACAACCACCTCAGTTCACCTCATCCTCAATTTTCATAGCTTATCTTGAGTAATTCCACGGGACTGAGGTTGAGTGACTGTGCACGGGTCTGATAGTCCAAGGTCGCGCACAAATGCGCCCAATCACAACACCAGATACGCACGTATCATCATCATCATCATCATCATCATCATCATCATCATCATCATCATCATCATCATCATCATCATCATCATCATCATCATCATCATCATCATCTTCTTCTTCTTCTTCTTCTTCTTCTTCTTCCGGAGGCCTGACACTACAAAATCATTACCGGCTTTACTCTGTTGCACAAAGGACGCCTAAAGCTGGAGCATTCCGTCAGAACACGAGCAGCGGGGGGGGGAGGCGACGGCGGGACTATCAGTTATGTTCATTCTATGAAGTTCGCTACAGATAGAAAATATTGTCGTTCAGGCATCCAATCCAGACCATCTCCTGATTAGCGCCCTCCGACTCACGTTCCGTTCTGCTTTCGAAAAACACACGCATCACAGGCATATAAATTGCCTTTTTTCCGGTTAACAGCGGCCTTCTTTTTCACTCCTATCGACGACTGGGTTGCACAGTGCGAGGAGCGACAGAGGACTGCCGCACCAGGTGCTCGTAAAGATGACGTCAGCGGCTCACACACACACTTCTGCACGTTTCGCGCTGCTGCTGAGTGGTCGAAGGTCATTTGTTTATACACACTGTTCTAGCTCTGATCGGACACGACCACCACACATATTCAGCTGTGAAGCGAGCATCTGCACAATACCAATTAACAGCCCTCTGGACTGCGATTGGAAACACGGGCGTCGAGATTCATCCTTTTGCTTCCTCCGTTGAACCTCCGCATGTGAGCAACACCTTGCGAGTCCAACGAACGAGAATAAGATACAGTCTGTGCATTGGCAATGGCCGTCTGAAGTACGCAGGCGGAGAAACGGCGAGAATGCCGATAAGCAAGGATTTTCTGGCGGCCTTAACCACCCTGATCGTGTCTCTGTTTCCAGACCGCAAAGAGAGTTAACTGAACCAGCTGAAAGTAGTCAGACTTATCAGCCATCATGGTCTCCTCTGAATACCGTAAATAAATGTGTGGTTTTCCGTAGGCGGAAAATATACGGCCCGTGGTTTGGAAACCCTGGATGCACGGCAGAGCGGGTTCAAAATTATTCGTGAATTGGAAAAGTTTTTTAAAATCGAATATTTCCCTGCCTTTGGGGGTAAGGGTGGAAGAAGACGTAATTTTCTACCGAATGGGCAAAAGATTCGATATTTTTATTCATGCTTTCCATGAAATATTATTTGACTTTTAGGGGCATCGAAAATCCATGAGACAAATGCATGCTACTTAGACAGTCATCTTTACAGAGTGTAGTTTTTACATGCAGCCAGAAGGAAGTTAATTCGGAAGCTGGCATCCCGAGGTAACTGAAATATTATAGAATTATGTTACAGGCCGACTAGTTTTACAACCCTACTTAATCAATCTTTTCGGAACGGAAACGCATTTCGTTTGACATTTCATGAGTTGGCCAACCTACTGTAAACATAATGGGAGAACTGGTAGAAATCCTCAAATTTTGGTTGCACTGTCAGATATCTTGATACCCTCATCATTACTCGGGGATCGGGTTACTGCAACGTGTGCTGTGGGAAAATTTTGCGCAAGGACGCAGAATGCCATCTCTGAATGCTTTCCGTAGTCTAGCTCCAGCCATCAAACTCGGTATGACACGATGACCTGGTTTATGTCCCCTGAGTGCGGTAGCATACTGCGTCCTTGCTACGATGTACAACTCGTGCTCCCCAGTGTAGCTGGTGTGAATTAGTTTTCGGTGATAACGGACTTGCGTGGCATCTGTAACACTAACTCCCCCCCCCACCCACCTAAAATGGGGAACACGCACGGCCGGAAGGGCGTGTCACCAGACGGCCCCGGACGAACTGCGTGAGTAGTCGGGGGCATCCCATCGCAAGGCGGGCTTAATGCTTGACCCACCTTCTCTTGGCCTACAAGGCAAACCTCGCGGATGCAGACGGATGTTCTGTCCATGAACGGCGATACTACCTGCAGCCACCGCAGTTACAGATTTATCGCATGCACATGAGGGGCGTGGCCAACCTCCACTTCCTGTACGAAAAAAGTGTAGTCTTTTGTGGGGGAGTACGCACGACCCGTCTGCCCTGAAGCTCCGGTTTAGAGCTCACAAGCTACAGATGGCCATTCGACTCCCGACAGTTCTTGCTGATGCTTCTGCTGGTGGGTGCGAAGCAGTGTGCCCGGACTACCATAGACGTTTTATTGGTGTGGCTTCCGCTCGCTGGCTTTAATCTTCGTGGAGAGCACTTAGTGATGAAACGCAGGATTCCCCGCTTAGTTGGGTCCATTTGGAACGATTCACAGAGCCCCAAAGCGCCTTCTTATGAAGTTCTCCCCACCCCCCCCCTCCCTCATTCATCCTCTGCATAGCCTCCGCGCCCTCAGGATGGGCTAAGGACACACCCCTGGACTACACAGCTGCGTCAGCCGCTCTCCTCGCCTCCGTGGCTTTGCTCAAGAGAACGTCGGCTGTGGCCCAATGTCTAACCCAACTCCCGTTGTTGCTCATTTCTTAATTTTATATGCCCTCAGTGATTGCCTTATTAACTTCTCTTTGTACTCTCCTTATCTTGTGCTTCTGATACCATTGGGTTTTCGTTCCTTTTCTACTGTGAAATTAAGCTTGCTGTGATTACTTAAATGTCCTGCTGACTCAGACCTCGCGAGATTATGCACAGCGAAACTGCTCCTGCAACCAAGGCTGAAATAAAGAAATGAGGATATGTTGCAGGATGGTTGTTTTTTTCTTTTACTACAAAGACAAAAGCGCATTGTCTGGGCGAAAAATGCCATCGGATTGTCTGTGAAAATGCGGTTCCTCGGGTATGCGCGGTGAACCAGAGTTTCCATGATTTCTAGCACATGTGTAGAGGGAGTTTGCAAGGGAAGGGAGAAAAGCAAAGGTATCCGGAAGACAAAAGTCTGAAAAAGAAGGATACACAAAGAACGAGCGCCGGGTTTATAACCGGACGTTCGGTGTGGCAAGGTCGCACTGCATCGAAGTTGTGGGTGTCATTTTGGTGCCTCTATTCAAACACCGGTTGAGGTACAGAGTCCATCGAGTTGTAGTACTGCAAGTTAGAAAACGAGGGCGTTGGAGGACCCACAGGTGCACACGTTAAAAACAACTGTGATTGATAAGGGTTACTAATAGAATATAAGTAGGTATACATTTACAAAATAACTTACGTAGTCGTTTTCAAGGTTATCGCCAAACGGAGTGACGGAGCCGCCTGAGAAGTCGTCCACCGAGTCGCTGTGATCAATCATCAGAGTTTTTGCCATCATGGAGCCGTTCTGAATGACCAAAGAATTACTCTGTCTGCTGAGTTTCCTCTCCAGGGCAGATGTCGAGTCTAGGCCCAAGGCTCCCACGCAGACGACCGGCTCCTCCTCGTAGACGGGACGGGCCCGGTTGAGAATCTTGACAAATTCAGCGGTCTTGGCGCGCATTCGCATATGCAGATACCCCTTGGCGCATTTTATGTGGTAGTGGAGGTAATTTCGGACCGTGTGGATAAGGCTAATTGTATGATCGGCGGCGTGTGGTGCCAGGTGGCGGGGAAAGAGGACTGTAGATGGATGGTACAAATGCAAACAAGGGCATAAATTCATTGGAAAAGGAGCGGGGCGATAAAAAGAACCCGACATAGTCCCCACCGCGTGCACCAGAGTTCTGTAAGGGCGACTCGGATACCACATGCGTGAAATTGCCACAAGGACCGCATCGAGGAGCCGTTGCAGTCTGACTCACAGTCCCTAAAGCGACCAAGTGAGGCCATCAGTTGGCGACCTTCCAGGCCAGGACTCTTAGCGCGTCGTTAAAGATTAAAGTGCTTCAAGGAATGAGCTATTTCCCGCGAGTGTTGGCCTCACTCCCCTGTACCAGTCGACTGTCCGAGCATGTCAAACAGCTAGCAGATGAGGTTGAGCACAGCGATCGACGAAACTTGACGGCCCGGGAGAAATGCTCCCAGTGGAAGTGGGATGTGCATGTTTTTACATGCGACCATTTGACCGCCATGTCATGGGCCGCATGCCAGTTGCAGAATTTGAAGTAGGCAAGAACGGCAGGATTTATTGGTACCAAAAAATTTCGCGACTGCTCTTCAGCTGCTTCCTGTCGCTTCATAAGAGATATAACGAGTGAGAACAATACAACAGATTTGAATTCGTGCAGAAAATCGATGCAGAAACAGCAAGGTTAGGGTTTTGGGCAAAGTTGGCTAATCGATAAAGTTAGTAACACAAACGCCGTAGGGGAAGAAAGTGAAAAAAGGGGAAACGTTAAAGAGCAAAAAAAATGAGAGGAGAGATGGGGAATCATGGAGCTAGAGGCTACCATGGCAATGTTAGGTTAACCACGTGCTCCAATTGTTTTCAAAGATCTGGTTTCACTCGTCGTATATAAGCTGCCTCCAGGTAACGCAATGTCCGAGTTGTTCGTGCCCGAACAAGTACTCGGAAGGAAGTTTTGGGGTCGACGGTGTGACCAGTATCAAGTAGGTGTTTCGTAATGGATGAACGCGGGATCTTATTTTCTTGTCTTAGGAGCCACTTGGGCAGGTGCTTAATGGACATTGCGTTACCTGGAGGCAGCCTATATACGACGAGTGAAACCAGATCTTTGTAAACAACTGGAGCACGTGGTTAACCTAACATTGCCATGGTAGCCTCTAGCTCCATGATTCCCCCTCTCTCCTCTCATTTTTTTTGCTCTTTAACGTTTCCCCTTTTTTCACTTTCTTCCCCTACGGCGTTTGTGTTACTAACTTTATCGATTAGCCAACTTTGCCCAAAACCCTAACCTTGCTGTTTCTGCATCGATTTTCTGCACGAATTCAAATCTGTTGTATTGTTCTCACTCGTTATATCTCTTATGAAGCGACAGGAAGCAGCTGAAGAGCAGTCGCGAAATTTTTTGGTACCAATAAATCTTGCCGTTCTTGCCTACTTCAGCTTCGTACCGGGACAAAATGCTTCAAAGTTGCAGAATTAATGCATGGTGTGTGGCGGAGAAGTGTAGTGTATGCATGTGTTGTGGGATAGGCTCGTACGTACGTGTACGAATATGACGAAGTGCGGTGACTAAGTCTGGACAGTGTTGTTTTAGTGAAAATTCTCGTGGATGAACATGCGGCCTAATTGGGGCAGTGAGCCAGAAGTCATGGCTGTATCTTGGGGCTCCTGGTACTGGTTCTGCGGTCGCAGTGGGATGGATTCGCAAGTGACCAACCGTAAAACAAAGCTTACAGAGCAGACACAGCCAATTTGAGAAACTCGATCGAAAAAGTGAACAGAGTCGGACTTGGAGAGAAAGTACCCACCAAATGTTATATAGGCCATGTTATCACCGACCGCGGCGTCTGTACCACGCAACTCGGCTGGCGGGACCCGGTGGGAGTAGAGGACCTGGGGGGCACGATCGTAGCGTCGGCGGACCTCCGTGAATTCCTAACGGAGCGAGAAGTAAACACGGAGTGGTTATGCGAGATGACAGGACAGCATTGCAAATGCAAGAAATCAAACCAAGCCAATTATTGATTGAGGCTCTCAGATGATGTGTAGGAGACACCGGAGAGGAATGAAATACGCCGAAGGAAACTGCAGTCAATTCATCTAAAGTTTTGGATCAGCCCTGCAAAACTATGCCGGTGGTCAAAAGCTGTGGGGCAGCAAGCTCTTTCCAAGGCAAAACACTGCGCTCTTACTATAAGCGAAAACATAAACAACACACATTCATAAAAACATTCTGGGGTATTTGATGCCCCAATACTATCTCGGTGCGCCAAATGGATAAGGCAACGGTGCACCCAATGTGCCATATGGCAGGCAGCTTAGTCAGCAAGCACGCAGAGGATGGACGCAAGGCTAAGCTCGGCAGGAGCAAACAAAATAGCAAAAAGTTGTTCCGTGTTAACAGGAAGGACACAGGAGATGCATTCAATGTCGCAGGCTCAAAGACGCTGACGCTGAAAAACAGAGCCCTGGTCGGATGCATTGTCTAAACAGACGGGTCCTCTAGCAGGAGACTTCACAAAATTGAGGGCTTTTGGTTCAAGAGGCAAAGTAACCAGGAGGAAGAGCGCCGGCCAGTGTATGGGAACTGATGTAAAAAAGACAGAAGGAGCAATCACCAGACTGACTAGGGCCGTGTGGTGTTGCATCCTCCAGGGCAACAATGCCCAGACTCATTCAGTGCAATCGCCACCTCAGTCATCGACCTCCATCGATACACGTGACGGGGTAAGATGCGGTTATGTGGCCGCACCTGATGGACACAATACTTGCCTTGTTTAATTTCCGAGGACATTAATGCACGAACTTGGAGTAAATCTTTCGAAACGGGCCTTTTCAGGCACGCTCCAAATTTTGATATGAATATTTGAGCTGACATCTATCAGCTACTGCGGAATAACCGCTTAATATTCACAAACCGCCAACAGGCAGCCAGTACTATAGAACTGTGCAATGATTTACCGTACTAACATATACTAACTATATTCTGTGCAATGATTTACCATACTAACTAACTAACAATATACTAACAGTATTCATATCAAAATTTGGAGCGTGCCTGAAAAGGCCCGTTTCGAAAGATTTACTCCAAGTTCGCGAATTAATTTCCTCGGAAATTAAACAAGGCAAGTTAAAACTGGAGTTCATATACCAGAAAACACACGGGGAAAGCTGGGGGGACCCACTGACGAGCCGAACCCCTCGCAGCTGCGTCAGCCAGCGGCATAAGATCGACGAAACACGCGAGTCTGGGCTTTTAGCTAATACCTGTTTTGTTAGTACGGTAAATCATTGTACAGTTCTGGACACAATACTGTTTGCCTACTTAATTATTTTGAGTCACGGTGTTGCCGTGCCTTGCGGTGTGTGTGCTGTTGGTGGCCTTGTTTCTTTGTTGCCGTGTCTACCTTTTTTGGTTCACTGCCGGTGGTTATTCTTGACTTTCGGCCTGTCGTCTCCTTCTAACTTTCGCGTTGGATGTTTCAGGGTTAGGGTTGCGGTTAAGGGTTCGGGTTGGGGGTTTGAGTTAGTGGTTAGGACCAGGGGTTAAGGTTGGGTGGTTGGGGCAACTATTTCTAAATCACTCAAAATATAACCGCGCCTCGGTGCCTGTGTGTTCTCCGGCCCCACCTGTAAAAACCCCCTATTACCACCGGTCCCGTACTAGAGGTGGCTGGGGTTTGTTTACCTCGGGTGGGGCTACATAACCACATCTGGCCCGTGAAGGCTCAATTAACTGCCAATTTTTCAGGAGAATCCAGCGACCGATCAGGCTTCATTTTTGGTGGGAAGTTCTCCATTGATAAAACAGTAACAGGAAGCATTAGTTGATGGACCAATGAACGGTCGAACATGGGCGATGACAAGGCAGCACCA